CGGCGCATACAGAGGCGAAATTGGTCACGTTGTCGCCTATTATAGACTTCTGAGGCTAATGTAAATAACTTTTGATTTACCTTAACAAATATTGAGACCTCATAAATATACAGGCTTGGGAGAGTTAGAATTTTGTACTCTTTGAAGAATGGTTTACAGGTTTCGATTATTTGAAGCCCAAACATAGCCCTTATGCACCGTTTTTGTGCCTTAAAAATTAAATCAATGTCTGTCGAATTTCCCCAAAAAACCACACCATACCTCAGGACTGAAGCAACTAGACCATGATATGCAGTTAACAAGGTACTAACACTTGAAATTTGTTTTAATTCATGTAGCGCGTACACTGATTTATTAATTTTTTTTCACAGTTCTTCAATCTGTGGTTTCCATTTCAATTTATTATCCAAAGTCAGGCCAAGAAATTTTGTGGTTTGCACTTCAGAAATAGGTTCACCCCTATAATTAATCTGAGGCATAATTGCATTCACACGCTGATTAAAATGGATAATTTTAGTCTTTCCTATGTTTACTTTCAGATTATTAACGTCCAGCCATTTGATGATTTCATTAAGGGTACTGCTTATATCATGCTCATACGATGTTCTGTCATTGCACCTAATTGCAACGGTGCTGTCGTCAGCAAAGAGTGTCATTGGGTTTGAATTCGCATTTGGAAGGTCATTAATGTATATTATAAAAAGTAATGGACCCAATACACTTCCTTGCGGGACGCCATATTGTATTTTACGTCCGTTTGATAAGTATGTATCCTCCATCTTAGTTCTAATATTAACTCTGTTAATTACTGTGTATTGAGAGCGGTTCCTGAGGTAACATGCAATTAATTTTAAAATGTTGCCTCTTATGCCATATGTCTCAAGCTTATTTAATAAGATGTCATGTACCACGTAATCAAAAGCTTGCGTCATATCCATAAAGATGGCGCAGATCGGTATTCGCTTATCAAATAATAGATAAATAAATTACACCCAAACACAGATCAAATGATTTTGCTCATCGCACAATATTTGTCCTCGGTGGAAATTGAAACACGACCCTCGCCTTTGCAGTCAGGGTCACTGACCACCGGACCGACAGACCCGACAGTAATTTTATTGGTAAATAATAAACCTTAAAAAAAGTATCACCATGTATTAAAAAAGTATTGTTCATTCCTTCATTTTCCAGTTTTTGAAGTGGTATTTTTTCTACAAATTTGAATTGTTCGTTTCTTTTTTAAAATTTGGACCGAATGGGATAAATTCATAGTCTCAAACAAAAATACTATAATAACAGATAATGCTATTAAATTTCTTCGACTACACCACAATATTCCTCAATATACAAAAGCCATTCCTTTCTTGCTATTATTATAAACAATTGAAACCTGAGGTGGGTTTCCATTGTTTATAATAATTATTTTAAAATAAAAATTAATTAAAATCTTAAAGAACACATCACATTTCTACATACATACATACTCGTATATGTAATGGTAAATTTTGTACACAACATGTAAACAAAATTCCAAAAAATGGAATTTATCTAATCAAGATAACGCGGTTGGATCTCCATTAGTTTCTCTGCGGGACCGCTTTAATTAAATCAATTAGGGATGAAACCACTTATCTTGTCTAAAAACAGTAATAAAACAAGCTAAACAAACACTAAATAGGGCCTATAGCAATACATTGGCAAATTTTCTTTGATCAATTTTTATTTTCAGTGTGATGGGCAGCCTGCGCCTAATGCGTTAAAAAAGTCGGCATCGTTAACAAGGACTAGGAAATCAAGTCATGTTTGTAATAGTAACAAATTCCCACTAAAGCGGACTTCTATGACCCCAGACTAACCGCATTTTGCTATATTTTAAGACTTACAGGTATAATTTCAAATATCACATACTTTAATATTTTTAAGCAACTTTTTGCCGCACTACCAACTGGAGAAAACTTTTTTGTCGCCTGCGGTATATCCACAGCGGAACGACTTCGAAACATTTAGGAAAGAGATTATTTCTATCTCAAAGGTCAGCCACGGACTTGTGACTCTTAAGATGCAAGTCTCCATCGGCGGCGATAGTCGCTTGCCTTCAGGAGAGTCGTCAGCAAATTATGTCCTATTTCATCGAAAAAAACTGTGAAATATTTTCAAATTCAAAAAGTTTATTGCGAATACAGGTTATTACAATTGGTGTTAACATAGTTTTATCAGTGTGTGTGTGTGTTTTCAGTTTTTTTATCCATAGTTTTTCTTTATAGTTTTTTTAGCGACTATATTCCGCCATTTGGCAAGCAATATTTAACACATTTCATTAGGTACTTTTATATTAAATTATTTAAACATGCTCGAGTTATAATTAAAGTTCACATGATACATAATCAAATATAATATAAATATCAATAATTTAATGTAATCCGTGTCATTCTTTGTATTTTGAAAACAAAATTATAATTTGAAATGCATACTACCTTTGTAAAACATATATGGAGCTTCTAGGAATCCCTAACAATAATGAACAGCTAATAAAGATGAATAGCAAACGAATGGTCTTAGGAACGCGTCCTTCAAAGGGCGACGAAACCACCAATTGACCTGGATGCGTTTCACTGAAGCAATTTAGTTCACTACCAGCTTGTTGATTGATCAATCGCGCGTAGACGTCATACCTATAAATGTAATCGCACTCAAATTAAGTGCATTAGTAACTATTTATTTATTTAGTTACTATTTACTCTATGCACTAACGTAATTACACTATGTCGGATTTAAAAACACAGGAATTTTCTACCCGACAACCTTAGGGTTTCACAGGAATTAGTGACTGCCTTAGAGTTATTTATTTATTTTATAAACTTCATGAACGTTTGTACACAGGCGGACTTAATAACCACGGCATACTCATCCTGTTGGCTTTTTAATAAACAACTTACTAAGAACTTATTCTAGGCAAATATATTTATTTATAAGTACTGAAATACATATCATCATCAGCCTGTCGCAGTCCACTGCTGGACATGGCCTCTCCCATTGCAATATCTCTAACTATTGGTCTCTCCACTGAAATACATATATAACTTAGCAAATACATACATATCTGTCGTATGTATTTGCTAAGTTGCATACATAAATAAATATTAAATAATGCATTAGGGTGGTGCTGATTTACAACTCATTTCAATAATGAGCTCGCACTAAATAAATATAATCTCAGGGCGTGACGAAAGACATGGTGAAATTTACGACAGTTTGGAATGCATTGGTGTAAAAGATCAAGATGATGATAAGTAGGGTTACCTATATAATGTCATGTGTAACCTACTGGTTTCGCCTCGTGCATGTGAATGCAAAAAAAAAACAAACAAATATTCTTCTTTTTTCCTAACGAATAGGATAAATTTTTAAACAACCTAACTTGAAATGATTGTAAATCGAGTGAGTTTTGTCAAAGCCGTGTCCCGTCTGCTCGTTTGCTCCCTCTTCAATAAAAAAAAGTCGTACACTGAATTTGTTGTTTGTCTAGTGGTTAGTGACCCTGACTGCTACGCCAGAGGTCGTGGGTTCGATTCCCACCCAGGACAAATAATTGTGTGATGAGCACGGTCATTTGTTCTGTGTCTGGGTGTACTTTATCTATAATAAGTATGTATATAGAAATATATAAGTATGTTTATCAGCAGTCTGGTTACCATAGCACAGGCTCTGTCTAGTTTGGGACCAGACGGCCGTGTGTGAGATGTGTGAAAATATTATATTATATTATTATTATTTAATGTCACCTTTTGAATGCTCGGTTAATCGTTAGTTTAAGTTTAAGTATTACAATACGTACATAAAATATACAACAAAATAAACTACCAAGTCAAAAAATAAACAAACACACCAAATATTGAAATGACAAGTTAATGGGTCATTAATGGTCAAGCCACTGGACATTCTTGATTAATTAAGACCGTCATACAATGGCGATTATTTATTTATTCATATTATAGTAATTTCGATTCAGTAATACGATAAAAAAAAACTATTTTTTTGTTGAAGTGGATGAAAAAGTGGAAAGTAAATTAATTATTATGTTTATAGAAAAATATCATATGGATTTTTAACTGTAAAAAATAATGCAAATCAAACCTACCTAATAACTTAGAATAATAACGCTTAAAAACAAATTAATAACACTTCTTTTTTAAATATTGTTTTTAAAGAAAACTTTATCAAAAAAGGTCGTATATGTTCAAGTAGTATTAAAATATTAGGTAAGGTTTCATTAATATTTGCTTTCTAAGAGGGTTGTTGCGTACAGCATAATAAGCAGAGAGTTTTGAGTTCGCTCCCTTATACGTTCAGTAGCCGCGCGAAAGCCTTGCAGGGTGACCGCAACACGGGTGAACAAAGACTTCCACTACATAAGAACCAACAGTGTGTTAAAACGCCTTAAAATTATTAATTAAATTACTACTAGTTAATCGGGATTATAAAATATATTAGAGTTAACCTCATTTTCAGAGTGATATTGTTTATGGATATTTTTCTTTTTACTTAGTTACAAAATTATTTAAAAAAATATATCCAAAAGGAACCACAATAATCCTATTAATTGTGATTGTTCCAATAAGATATTTGTTCAGTATATCGTAGAAATAATATATTAGGTATGATAAAAGGAATAGCAGAAAGCTCAGATGAGGGCAATCGACCTCCTGGCTTTAGCATTCTTCTTATTGGTTTATTTATTTTCTAATATATTTATGAAGATAATTTAATTAATGTTAAAATAATATTTCTGTTACGCCCTTAATGGGCCCCTAACACATTTTTGGCTTCTCCTGGACAAATAAAATAGTTTAATATTAAAAAGAAATAGTAAAACAACATATTGAAAACAAAAAAAGACTTTTTTTAAAAGAAAAGAAAACTTTTTCAGTTGTATCTCATCAATTTTATTTGACCAGTATCATAAATACAGCAAGAGCAAGTTATACGATAAAGAGTGAACAATGTACGGCTGGTTGCTGGAGAGTGTTCAACACTTTATAGTGGTGAGTAATTTACTATAACATTCACACATCCCAAGTTTATTCCAATCTAGTAGTAGTGTTATTTACTTGCTTTGGCCAGATACCCATAACACAATTTACTTACCATGGGTGTCAGTATTCTACTACTCTCTGTTCTAGGTACTTTCGTGTATGTTTTTATTGCAACTTTTGGAAATAATTATTTATTATTATTATTTTTATCATTATTAATGCTATTTGCCGAATTCAAAATAAGAAGGAGGTTCTCCTCGGTTTCTGTTCGGTATTTTTTTTTTTTTTTTATTGGAATATACTTGCCGTTAGCGCCCATTCCAACTTGAAGAAAAATTTTAATAGTAAGGGTGGAAAATAAGGAACGCAGAATACAGTTTATTACATCGTAATGTACGACTTTATTTTCTAAACAGCCAAGAAGGCTGTTCATTGTGTTTCATTACCGCACCCTATAACCTCCTTTCTAAGGAGAAGCCTATGTCCAGCAGTGGACTATTAAAGGCTGTTGACGTGACGTGCCGTGACCGCACCCTAAGAGCTATTTATCCCTCTATAGTATTTATAACTAGCAGGTTTTAAGAAGTACAATTTCTTTTGACCACCCCGCTTATCATTATTCTTAAAGCGCGACACTGCACTTCTCCAGAGTTGCAGGTGTCACTGGAAGGCGGTAGTTACTTACCATCGTAGACGGTGTGCTCAGTTTTTTGTGTGGATATTTCCTCGGATATCACCGTGGTGGTTATGTCGGACTCGAACCGACTAATAACCGCACGCCGTCTCGGGTCCCAGTAGCCGGGGAACCAGGTGTACCCTAGAAAAGAAATACCTACCATCAGGTACTTATTTTTTTTCTAGGGGTATGGGTATCACCCCAACGTACCTCAGGTCATCTACGACTTGTAGATGACCCTCTGCTGTGTGGCAACCCCGTGTAGGACTTGTAGATGACCCTCTCCTGTGTGGGTGACGAAACGCGCGCTTCGCAGCGCGTCGCGTCACCACCCCGGCCTGCTTCTCCTGGGGTGACAGATGGCCTCACCTGTCAGGACCACCAGATCATTCTCCGGCTCCTGAGTAGTCTGCGATAACTGGCGGACCGAGAGAGTTCTGAACCTGCCCCGGTCCCGCTCCGCCGTCTCCTTCGCAAGTATAATTTGCTAGCTGAAGGAGACTTCGGTGCTCGTTTGCCCCTGTAACATAACTTTCACATCCATACTTATGTTATAAATGTGTTTGTTTGTTAGCTTTCACGCCTTAACCACTGAACCGATTTTAAAAATTCTTTCACCAATAGAAAGCTACAATATTAGCTAGTAACATAGGCTTTTTAACGCTATAACCGACATATACGCGGGCGGCGCCGCGGGTAAAAGCTAATTTATAATATCAGTATTAATATATGTGGCCGGGTGACCGCAACAGACTTGCCACTGATTACCCAAGACTTAAAATTATAGCCGTGAAAATGTTGACGTTTAATAAACTTTTCTTTATCCTTCGGAAATAAAGCTATACTTAAGTGTATTAAGTAAAAATGTATGTTAAGAGGAATTATTTATTAGTGGCCTGTGATCGGGTCCAGTGTGAACTGGTAAGAACTATTTAATAACAATTATATAGGGGATCGCATTAAATCCGGTTTTTAGATTAATTATAATTGTATTGTGTAATATATTTTTATTTTGGAAATTAAGTCACAGGGAGACGTAACTGCTTGTCAATTTACTATTGAAGTTATATATGATTAGAACAATGTAGTTTGTGAGCAATTACAGAATATTATAACATATTACATAATAGTATAACATATTATATAATATCACAAATGTATTATATAATAAACCTACATCATATGAATTTATGATTCATTTATGATTGATGAAATATTCAAGACCAAATGTCAGATACTCGTTGCCAACCAGATGATCAGTCACGAAAATGCTCTAAGAGTAGTCACCAATAAAAAAAACTGTTTAAATGCTTAGGATTAATTAAAAAACCCTAAAGAATGCATGACAGGATTAGTAGTAAAAGTTCGTGACCGTGAGTAAGATGAATAGTCTGAGCTGAGGAATTCTGTTCAGGATTCTGTTGTTAATTTGCCAGCTGTAAGGGTATTCACGTACATATTTTCATTCTCTATTAATGTACCTACTTTAAGTAATTAGGGCACAATACCTTCAGAGTAATAAATAAACTTGGCTTACTTTTAATATTGAATATAATAAAAATAGTGGAAATAAAAATGGCAGAAAAATATTTCAAAATCGAGTCTGTCAAACACATACGATATAAGTTTTACAGACTAGACGAAGATAAATAAACAAAAGTTCTTACAACCTTGAAAGTTAGTTGATTCATGATCAGGAGTTATGTCATTGGATTTAAAAGGAACTATTTTGTTAACAGGAAGAATGTGGAGAAGAAATATGGGAGACTATTCTCCGAGAGTCAGGTGCGCGCAATACTGTTTTCAGCGCTACACAGGTAATTCTAGTTCCTAGTAAAAAAATATTAATCTCATCCTTTTTTTCTCATAGTAACATCGTCATTTTTTCGTAGCAATATCCTGACGCCCTGATGTTACGACTCGCGAGCGCTTTAGCAAGACTGCTGACAAAAGAGAGTAACAGTACGTCAACCTCCAAAGCAAGTAGCCCTGCACCTCGGAAACGTTCTCTAAAATCGAAACCGAGCTGGCGAAGTGCTTCGGTTCAGACTGACAACAGAACACAAAACTATAAATGTCCTTTCACTGCTACCAACGCATTGACCGCCGTCACCAAAAAGGAGATCGATGCTTACAATTCTTCTGAAGAGATAAGACCAACGGTCGCTTCATCCACCAGCAGGATAAATGAAGAAACGACTCCTTGCAGGGAATTTCAAAGACGAAGTTCTGGTATTAAATTTGAAAGCACCATAGTTAAAGAACCTGTTGTAAAACCGATTCTTGAATCGGATCAAACTGAAGATATGCCAACAACATCTGAAGTCAGTTCTGCACCGGTTTCCCCAGATTCAGAAGTTGGAAAGAAGGGCTCAATAAAGAAAAGTACAGCACGTAAAACCAGCTGTACCGTTGCGTTAGATGTCTACAAACGTCGTGGCTCTATTATTTCTGCTCGACAACGCCTGAACAGTATTAGTCTTATAAACGGTGACAAGCTGAATATGTTACGGGAGAAATTTGAAACTCCCGAGAAGGTGATGCATTTCTTTGGCAGATGTTTCGTGAAGTTTTTTAGTAATTATGGGTGAGTATTATCATTTTATTTGTCTGTTTTAACATTGTAGCTCGAAACACACCTACCTTTAGAGTATAATTATATGGATGAAAGGTACCCCTAAGGCCTTTTTTGTTAGAAATAGAATACAAATATAAGTACAAAAAAAAAACTAAAGATTTGTATCATTTTAGTTTCACTAACCCAGTCGAAAAAAGTTCTGGTGAGCCTATACATAAACAATTAATAAATGATCCCTAAAAACCGCTTCAACTCGAATTAACACTTTCTATATACGGATTTACCAGGGATAGGATGTACAAAACTAGCATATAGAAGTGGCAATCTATCTCACTGTAGATGACAAAAGGCAAACAACAGTATAATAATAGTAATAATCAAATGCCATTTAATTGTAAAACTACGATATGTATAAAGAGTGGTACTATCAATGTAAGCGTTACAACGGGATTTAATGGCGTCTTAAATAATGTTGAATCCTTTAACCCTATACGGCCTACTAACAGCTGGGTACCGTACTCTTGCCTCCATAACCAATTGAAAAAAAACTCCAGTTAATCGCTAACTTAAAATATTAAATCATAACATCCATAATACTCGTATAACCAGTTTTATGAATCTGTTATGAATCTCTAAATATGGACGTGGTCAAAAAGTTCGTTTGCCTTTAGCGTCATGAATTTCATGAATAAATTTCCCAAATTTATATTTGAACAAAGAAAATTCCCCTTACGTTCACATTTCTTAAGCTTTACTATAAAATTTGCGTTCTCTATTATCGTTCCCAATAGTTTGTTTTGTGTCTTTCTTTGGGTCTGAAAGTCGTAATACTAGTATCTTGATTGCGTCAATTGGATATATAGGCATTTTAGTGAAAAGATCTGGGCGCACGGTAGTGCCTCCGCCAAGACTTGTAGTAACGAAACAGCAGAACCGTCACATATTTTGACTAAGGTGTAGAGTTTGTGAAGTTTGGACCTTTAGAGTTAGGGTGTCTAGTAGGCCGGGCACGCCGTCATCGCGGCGGTAAGACCCGTTATGGAGGATTGGCTCGAGAGGCGTCACGGGACCCTCTCATACCGACTGACGCAGGTGATCACTGGGAAGGGATGTTTCGGGGATCACCTGTGACTGATCCGCAAGGAGCCAACGCCTGAGTGCCACCACTGCGATGGCCAGACCGTGGACACGGCTCTCCACACGCTGGCAGAGTGCCCGGCGTGGGTTGAGCACAGTTTTTCCGCACGGAAAAAAAAAGGTGAAATAGCTGTGATTAAAAACAAACATTTTATCATATGAATATGATTTAGAAGTAACAATAATTTCCATGGCTCTGCCTGAGATCCGATAACTTTTTGACAGTGCGGGCTATATGGTTTCGTCTTGGCAACATTTGAGATGAAAATGTTTTTACTTGGACACTCTTTGTCCTTAGATTTTAAGTTAAGTGGATATAAATCCATTGAAACACAGTAACGGTGACTTCACCGTATTTTAATTTTTCGATTAATCACTTTTTAGGGTTTTAAATTTGGAATGCATAACATGCCGTTGTAAAATCTTCCAGATCCATTATTCCTTGCAACAGTATTTAACATAAATGTGGAAATATAAAAGGTTTCCTTCTTCACCCCTGACAATACTTATGTAACATGTGTGTGTAACAAATAAACAAACAAACAAAACTACTTCCACATTAATCATATTGTTTAGGATTCAGATTAATTTTCCTTCTGTTTTCTCTGTTCTTAGCTACGATAAAATGATCCGTGCAACAGGGCGTTACTTCTGCACATTTCTCCAGTCTGTTGACAACATACATCAGCGCATGCGCTTCACATTCCCGCGCATGCGCTCGCCGAGCATGCAGCTGACTCGTGCGCACCGACACGGAGCAGAACTGGTATACAGCAGCGGCAGGACTGGTTTCACACATTATCTCATGGGTTTGTTCTCAAAAGTGTTATTCCTTGATAACTACAACACTCATATGGTGGTGTTTAAGAGTCGACTCAAATTGAGCAGCAAAATGCAAGAGCACTTTTAAAATACAAATGAAATATGACCTTCACCCTAAAAAATAGAGTTGAAAATCGTATGCAAGTAGTAAAATGTAGTAAGACGGCAAACGGACTGACTATCAATCTGAGTTGGTCCTAATACGAGGCTGATCACAGAGATGCTGAATAATTTTACTGGCAATGACATAAACATTTCTTACAGGACTCATTGATTTGGTACCAAGGTTGAAAATAGGCGTGTGGCTAATAAACAATTAATCTACATACATAATTCGATACTTACTTATACTTTCATAGCTACTTAATATTTCGCTACAACCATTAGGCAGAGGGTAGCGACCAAAACGTGGGTGTAGGTACTGGGGAAACTCCTACAACATTTTCATTCATTTAAACCAAAATAAAATCGTGTTATATTTTACAGGTCAATTGTATGAAATAGCGGAGGACATATTCTCTTTGAAGCTGAAGGTATCAATTGTAAAGGAGAGCATGGAAGGTAATTACTACGTAGCGGTACTCAGACTTGAGTTCGACAACAGCGACTATGTGAGTACCTACTTTTTAAATGTAATATTTGCCCGGGTACAATAGATAAAGGTAAAATTAATTACAACACTAAAAAACACATATAACTATACCTAGTTCGATTCGCTTAATGATAAAGTACGACATCGTGAAGGACTAAGAAAAACTTAAAGTTAAATTGAATTAAGCATCTCCAACGCTAAGAAATTTTACTATTTTAGAATCTCTATCCTTCTTAAAAAGCGTTGAATAGTTGAAATAACTGGTCTAGACATCTCAAAGTAAGGGAAGTTTATATATTCGTATTCATAAAACTATGAAAATTAAGGTTGATACCTACAAAGACTATAGCGATGGGGGTTATAATTCTCATAATATTACGTATATACCCAAATAAAATTGCCATGAAACACGTGTCAAATTAATAACCCTCTTTTTTTAAGTCGTTTAAAATTGCCTCGACTTAATGACTTTATGAGACTGCCTCGTCGAGTCGTTATTTAGGAGATCGATTTGATTACCAGAAAGAAGTAATTCACTCCCGAATAACGGATGTTTTTTAGAAATCGCTAATGTATTGTGTTGTGTCGTGTCGAGTCAAAAGCATATAGGTGTCAACATATTAATTTATGTCAAAATGACAGTCGGTCGTGTGTTATTTGTTCAGCGACATCCCTTTATTGTCACATAACACATACTGTGTGTTGTGTTTCTATCTTTAATCGAGAAGTAAATACTGAAGATTTTTATGGTATAGGAAGGCAACCGAGCAGATGGGTCTCCTGATGGTAAGTGACTACCGCCGCCCATGAACCCCTGAAACTCAACAATTATAGTGCGTTGCCGCCCTTTTAGTCCCCTCCCCAGAAGCAGCACCCCCCCTGCTTTCATCACAAAAAACATAAAAAAAATTGAATTTAGAAATTATATTAAGAAATAAGATATCTTCTTAAATGGAAACACTATATTATATTACATATTATTTTTATATCACACAAAGTGTTGTCCCATGTGGGCATCGCACTCACAACACTCAGCGCAGTAAGAAGCGGCGAGGTGACCGCTTTAACCACTACGCCATCTGTGCAGTCAACCAGCTACTAGTTACTTGCCATTGACCGCGGCTTCGCTCGCTTAATTATTTCTAACTTTAAAAATGACGTACTTCTATACAACAGTTCATCCCTTATTTACCAACCTTAATATTAAACTTAGGGGTGGAATTTCCAAAAATCCTTTTATAGTAGGTGCTAGCAACATAAAAAATATTGAATTGTAATCAAAATAAATGGAATTAGAATATTTATAGCTCTTGAAATGGAATTAAAATGAGTCAATTATCCCTTGGACCTCTTAAGGTTTACAGCACTTTATTTAGATTCCTTAAGATTGTGTTACTGCTAAATAAATAGAAAATTACTCCCAAAATTGGCTATCGACCCGTAGTTAAGATGCTTCTGTTTCAAATTCAATTTAATTAAAACAGTAACTGAAACTTAACGCCGAAAGTAGTTGAATGTATATGACGATAAATAATGAAGTGAAGACCACTAGGCCTGTTGGTCTAGTGGTCTTAGTAAGCCTGAGTTTGTGGGTTCGATTCCCACCTAAGACAAATAATTGTGTGATCATAATATAGATAAATTACATCCAGATCCAGAACAAACGATCGTGCTCATCACACAATAATTTATTAAAGGATAATAATATTTTTATTTTTATATATTACATCACAGTTAGAGCCTAGAATTTTAACAACGTTTGAAATGTTCTATAACTGATCTGTGAGCTAAATACAGAAACTAAACTAAATTGGTAGCAATAAAAGATGCTTTTTAACAATATGAAATTGAGTGAATGATCCATACAATAAAATGATTTAATGAAACTATAGCATTTATTACAGGACAATGTCCTCAATTTTATCTGTATACAAATTACAATCTTAGATATGTAGGTATACAAATAGTTCCTTGTAAATAATAAAGTGAAGATTTGGATACATCAGATTTAATACATAATACGTTTTTCAAAAGTTGGGCCTAGTGGTTAGAGCCTTGAGAGAGATCGTATTTTCGATTTCCACCCAGAACCAATATTGTGTGATGAGTACGATGATCTGTTCCTGGGTATAATTTCTTTGGTCGCAGAACGACCTCCGTCCTCCATAAGCGCAGGCCTGGGGGTGACAGGTGAGGCCATCTGTCACCATAGAAGAAGCAGGCCGGGGTTGCGAAGCGCGCTCGCTTCCAGGGAGCAGAGGGAACATGGGGTTCCCACACGGGGAGGGTCGTCTAATCGTCTGTAGATGGCCCGAGGTATGTCGGGGCACCAGGGACTTCCTTTGTAGGGTATACCTGGTTCCCCGGCTATTAGTACCCGAGACGGCGTGCGGTTTTAGTCGGTTCGAGTCCGACATGCCACCGATAGGTGGTATCCGAGGGGATTTCCGCACGGAAAAAAAAAACAAATAAAAAAAGGGTGTAATTTCTATATAACATTTTTTAATTACGTGGAATATATGGACGGGGTTGACAGATGTAGCCCCCAGGGCAAGGCTATTGGCACAAATCAAGGAATTGACACTAAAATTATAATCTCCAAAATAAGGCGTTTTAAGGCCATTTAAAGCCTCAGTCTACCTCTTCGCGGGTAAAAATACGTGAGTACATATTTTTTTTCAAAAGAGATCATTTCCAAGAAACTTCTAATAGTAGGTACGTGTTTTTAATCACTACGTATTTTAACACAACGTCTCTCTGTTTAAGCGTAATAATCTTGGAATTAACAGTAAATGTAAAATAAAGTATTAAAATACTTAACGGATTCTCATACGGTTTAGATATATTAATAGTTAATAATTAAGTTTTTGTATATGTTTGATTAAATTTGACGAAGGCATCTGAAAATATCGGAAAAAACGTTCCCTCGCTTGCGTCACCTTTGCTAACCGCCATGATCATAAAGTACAAGGTAGCGATGTGTCAACAATACCAACAATTGACCATCAATTCAGCTAATTTGGTGCAAATATATATTAGAAACCTTAAATAGACTCTTTAATAGGACACATATAAAGTGATCCGATATAATAAAAAAGTATGATCTCGTTATTACGTAGGTAAGAATGCAGAGTTTCACCACCCCTGTTCATCCCATGTTTGGCGTAAGAGCCGACTAAGGGAGAAAAATACGCAGAACAACAGCACTGCAAAGAGAAGGAAAACTTGACACAAACCCTTTTTTTTTTTTTTTTAACGTGTGGAAATCCCCTCGGACCGTCACCCCTCCGGGGTTTGCGGCGGGGTGGTGTGTCGGACTCGGACCGACTAAAACCACACGGTGTGCCACTCTGCGCCTGTAACAGGAGGGATCCGGGAACAGCTGTTGTTAAGACATCCGGACCCCTCCTAGCGCCAGCCCGCTCCTGGTGCGGGCTCCGTCTCAATGTTGATGTTCCTCTCTTTAGGCGACGTCCGGCACACGCGGACGCCGCCCCCTCGCGGCTGGCCAAACTAATGCGGGTGGAGGGGAAACCCACCCCGTCCATCCGCGGCCACACTCAGGGCGGCATGAGGCTGTGATAGGCGGGCCTCCGCCGCCCGGTTCGCCGGCGGCGGATCGGGTCCGAGTGGAGGTCGTCCTCCCGGGCCCTCTCCGCCGCCTCCTTCCGCGAGATTACTACCTCGCAGAAGGTTGCGACCGCGGTAAAACAACTGTCGCTACCGGCCATGGAGCGTACTACGGCCGGTAGCGAGAGATCCACTCCGATGACTGCAGTGAGGGCCCGGCGCTGCGCCGCCCATGCTGGGCAGACTGCCAGCGTGTGCTGGGCCGAGTCCTCACTGCAGTCGCAGTGGTGGCAGGCGGGACTCAGTTCCCTCCTAGCGACCGTGTGCAGGTACTTTCCGAAGCAACCGTGCCCGGAAAGCACCTGCGTCAGCCGGAAGGAAAGGGTCCCGTGCTGCCGCCCTGCCCACTCGGCGATGACCGGCTGGAGAGCCTCCACGGCGGCGAAGCCAGCGCGTGGAGTCTCCAGCCGGAACGACCAACGAGCCATCGTGGCTCGGCGAGCGGCTTCGCGCCACTCGCGCACATCCTCGGGCGGATGGCGAAATCCGCTCTCCGCCCGGGAGTCAGCCACTCGCCGATAAACTTCGGCGAGCACTTCCGCCTCCAAATCCCACGGGGGAGTTCCGGCCAACGCGCACGCCACCTCCGTCGAAACGGTGCGGTAACCGCGTATGGCTCTGACCGCCATTACCCTCTGAGGGCGCCAGAGGCGTACCCTATTCTGGGCAGTCAGAGCCGCCGCCCACACCGGTGCACCGTACAGTGCCATTGACCGGACAACCCCCGTGTACAGCCGTCTTGTCGCGACGCTGGGTCCACCCATATTGGGCAAAAGTCGCCCTAGGGCAGACGCAGCGCCGACCAGCTTTGGAGCAAGCTGTCGGAAGTGCTCGTCGAAGAGCCACCTCCCGTCGAGGATCAGGCCCAGATATTTCATCTGGGTGACTAAAGTGTCATCCGCGTAGCAGATTACACCCAGCCCGGGGGGGAGACGCCCTCGTAGGGCCCAGTCGTACCCGATGTTCCACAGGAGAGGTCCTAGGACAGACCCCTGCGGAACACCGCACGACATGGCCCTGCGCCTCAAGACGCCATCTCGGTCTTCGTACATGACGGTTCGCTCCTCAAGATAGTCTGCCACCAGCCGCCTCAGGTACTCCGGCACTCCGTGGTAGCGGAGCGCTTCCCTGATGCAGCTGAATGGCAGACTATTGAAGGCGTTGGCGATGTCCAAGGACACCGCCAACACCACTCCGCCGCAGCTCACGGCCTCCTCGGTCACGGCCCTAAGGCGCATTACGGCATCGATCGTCGAACGCCCCTCTCGGAAACCGAATTGGGCGTCCGACAGATCGGGGCCAACCTCACAAAGGTGCCGGACGATGCGGGCAGAGAGCACCCTCTCAAAAAGTTTGCCCGCCTCGTCCAGCAACACGATAGGCCTATAGGCCGCGACCGATTCGGCAGGCCGTCCCGGCTTCTGCAGCAGGACCAGCTTCCCGCATTTCCAGCGCTCAGGGAAGCGTCCGGACGCCAGGCTAGCGTCCAACACCCCCCTGAGGTGGTCCGACATGTAGTCGAGGGCTCGGGCCATCACTCGGGCTGGAACCCCGTCCGGCCCGGGGGCGGTGTTCTTGGATCGAATCCGTAGAACAGCCGCCCCCAACTCCGATTCCCTGACGGGCGGAACATCGACCTCGCTGCCCCCGTCGTCTCCGGCTGATGCAGCCATCGACGGGGGTGTGTGCTCCGCCCGCTGCGGGAATAGGCCCTCGACCACTTCCTGCAGGAAGCTGGGCTGGAGAGTCTCCGTAAGGGGGGGGGCCGACGTGCGGAGCTTTTGATGCACCGCACGATAAGGGCGACCCCAGGGGTCACGCTCGAGACTCTCCAGCATCTCCTCTCTACTCACATCCTTGGCGCGGCAGATGGCCAGCCTCAGAGTTTTCCGAGCTTCTCGGTACTCCTCATGAAGCCGGTCCACCTCCTCACCGACCCCGCGGTGACGTCGCCGACTACGGGTGAGGGACCTCCGGGCACGTACACAGGCCGCACGGAGGTCCGCCAACTCCTGGGACCACCAGTAGACCTCCTTCCTTGGAGGCCGACAACCACGAACGCGGGGCATGGCCGCATCGCAAATCTGCGTAATCGCATGGCAGAAGCGACCAGCCCCCATGTCGACCTCCTCGGTCGAGCACCCCACACAAACCCTATACCAACCCGTCTGGCCAGCGTGGTATAGTAGGCCATAACCATTTCTAAGAGAGGCTTATGTCCAGCAGTGGGCTATTAAAGGCTGTTGATGTGTGACGATGATCTCGTTGTGAGGTTCAGGTTTAATGTATATCTGGTGCACTGGACCACCTGTTTCGAAAGTATTTTTAAATTGGTTAATTAGTGGGCTGCCTTAGCTATTTACAATGGTGACTTCTCTGGGTTCTCCGATAATGATCAGAGAACCCATAGGCTCGAGATAATAACATCACACACACACACAACACATCAACAGCCTTTCATAGTCCAGGCAGAGGCCTATGCCCATAAGTGGACTATAAACCTCCTTTCTCTCCTCTCTTCTTCCTAAGGAGAGCCATAGAAAAGAGGTTTAGGCCTACTATACCACGCTGGCCAGACGAGTTCCTTAAGGGTTTGTGTCAAGTTTCTTTTTCTTTGCAGTGCTGTTGTCCTGCCTAGTTTGCTCCTTTAGTCGGCTCTTATGACACCCACGGCATGAATAGGGGTAGTGACACTTCGTATTCTTAATCCGTCACCACATGGACAACATACGGAGAAAATAACAGAAGTACTTAATCTTATATACACAAAAAATCCTTACCCTTACCTTACCTAATTTATACACAAGAATGGAATATCTAACCTCATGTGTGGGAGAGACATGTTTCTGCAGAAATGAGTCGGCTCGAACGGAGTGATACCACGGCCTCATAGAAAATCGGTGTTAAGCAGTACTTTCGTCGCCTTTCACCAAGCGAGTGTGGTTACGGGTGTATGACTCTTGAGTTCCAGTTGTCTATAGACGGCGGTAGTCACTTACGATCAGGCTACGCGTCTGTTCGTTTGTCCCCTTATACAATAAAACAAGCGACTGCCTAGTTGGTGCAGTAGGTTGCGTATGCGACTGTTGTGCTGAGGACTCGGGTTCGATTCCCGGGTCGGACCAAATGTTTGTACGATCTACAAATATTTGTTATGGAGTTTAGGTGATTTCTATGTATAATATATGTATTTATAAAAAAAGTATGTAACCATTGTAATAGTCAATCTATAAAAAAGTATATAAGTATGGTATCATTCAATCTAGTATAGTTTTCATTGTACAAGCTCTGCTTAGTTTGAAACTGATGTCGTTGCGTGTTAGATGTCCGAAATATTTATTATTATTATTATATATTTTTTTACGTGTGGAAACGGCTGGGCCGCCACTCCGGCGAGGCGGTGTGTGGGAATCGAACCGACTAAGCCACACAGTGAGCCCCTATGCGCCTTACATAGGAGGGACGCGGGAACAGCTGTTATTGCGCGCTTGCCCGCAATATATATACCACCTTCAGGTGCAACCAACTTTGCAAAATTATGGCATAACCTTGAATGAGTATATGTCGTAAGTACGTATTGTTTTCTTTTTATAACAAAGGTATGTCAGCTGTGTTACGTGTTCAGCGTACATAAATAAGAATTGAGCCTAATAACGGTTGGAAAATGTGCAGTACACACATACCAAGTATCTTTGGCCACGACTGTCGTTGTAGTTAAAAATAGTAACAAAACAATGGAGCTACACAATGTAGTCAGTGCCTTCATTTCGGTGAAAGCTTTCAATAGCTATATTATTTCAATCACGAGCTTTTTTTAATTCAAAGACGCGCCGGTATTCTCCTACCGCTGTTCACTTGGCACTGGCTTACGCAAAAAATTCGTATTCTATTATTTTGAATTTTATGCGCGGGAATGGCAGCCTAGCTTTACCGATTGATATTCGACTTCGGTTCTGTAGTAGCAATAAACTTTCCAATTATTAAGATTCCAGCTCCGATAAATTTGAGTCGAAGCTATAACAAAGGTTGAAACATCTTATAGTTTTAAAAAAAATACATTTCAACGTTACGAAATTATTTCAACGATCAATCAAATCATCATCATGGATCAATCAGGATCAATAAAAAAGTGTATGAAATTGTTTCATTACAGTTGACACAAATACGGTAAATTGTATTAATTTCGAGTATATTTATTTTGTACTCTAACTTCGGTACCCGTACTAATTCCTTGTCCGATTTTGGTAACTCAAATTATTCTACTTCCTCTGAGAAAGCAACAGAAAAGAGGCAGGAGTAGATAAGGACGTATATGTACAGTAGCCCGAAGAGTACGTCTGTCTGGTGATTGGAGTCGCTACTAGGACGAATTCATCGACTAGTCTTAAAGATTACAGATTATATTTACATATAATAAATGTGTGAATAGTCAAGGAGTCTAATAAAAAGCAGAACGGCAAGAGAAATGAAAATAAAGCACGCGGAAAGACACTCTAGCTTTATCCTGACGAAAGGCTGAGATCGGCGCTGATTTGAATTGAATATTGAATTTTATATTGTACTTTTGTGGTGTAGAAGGCATATCGGTTTTAAGCAAACCCAGATAACATCAGGTACTGATAAAAAATAATAGCCTAAGAGGGTAAAATAATAATGAAAAATACGTAGTATGCGTAGGTATAGTAAAACAACAGAACTAAGGAAGTTAATTAATAACCTAAGAACACCGGTAATAAAATGAATACCTTTCTGAGCCACTAAACGCTGTAATACAATTAGACTACATATATCTAACCGCAGCTATATACCTGATCAGGACAAATACCTAATACGTGTTATTTACATACGAATTTATATAAGGTTTCTCTTAGAATTGGCAAACACATTTGCAAATGGATGCGTACTCGGATATAGATCTGTAATATTCCAAGGTGGACTACTCTAAATGATTAGCTACTCGTGTCAAATTAGATTGATTAAATTGCTACCGTAAGCTGATATGGTCTATTATGATATCGGTATTATGAACGTGCCTACGTTTTAGCTACAAGGTTAAACGCCTACCTGTAAAATACGGCCGTCTGATCCCAAACTAGGCAGAGCCTGCCTGTACTATGGTAACCGGACTGCTGATAAACATACTTATATATTTCTAAATACATTTATATTATATACTAACTGATACCCGCAACTTAGTACGGTACGCGACTGCTGTTCATGAGGCCTCGGGTTCGATTTTCAGTCCGGGCAAAATTTTATAGGTTTTTCTGAAAGGAAAAATCACCTAAGTGATTACTTATATGGACTGCTACCTGGTAGTAAAATATTATTAAAATTGGTCCAGCCATTTTGAAGATTACCCAGAACAAACAGAAAGACATTTTCCCTCTACCCAAAGGTTGACTGCGAGAAAATGCCTGTGGCATTAAGTCCGCCATAGTACAATTGAGTTGTGTTTTGTGCATAAAGAATTAAAATAAATAGACCAACAGGGCCCTCAATGACTTGTCAGATAACCAACATCTTTTATCTCCTGAATATAAGCTCACAGTTTAACTGAGTGCCTGAATACAGAACAAAAAGGTCCAATATAACCCGATCTAAATGTTTTTTTTTTACAAGAGGGCGCAGACGAGTTTACGAACGGGTTTTACATTGTATAAAAGCTGAACATAAGTACGAATGTTGAGAACACATATAATTCTCCAACGACAACACATCTGTAAAAGTGGTAATACGTCGTCGGTTTGCATTTTTTATCTAAACCGTAAATTGCATCGTAAACTAGTCTTCAGATGGTCCACATTTGAGAACTCTGACCGTGAATAGCTCATTGGAGATGTAGGTTCGCTGGTTCCAAACATTTGTGTAATCAACTGTAATCTTAACTCTATTTTTGAGCTTACTTTATCGGACTCGGTCTTTACGCAAATTGTATCTAGTATCTAGTTGTATCTAGACCACCATTTAGCGGTACTTCTGTAACTCACAACAGAATTTACCTTAACTCTTGTCCAGTGTTGACACATGTCAACACTGGACAAGAGTTAAGGTAAACGGCGCTCAAGATTAAGAATTTAACTGAGTGATTATGTCTAGAAATTGAAGAGAACCACATTCGAATTAAAGGATTTTCATTGCAGACATTATATTAATCCCATTTATATAACCTTGTTTGTATTTGATAACAGGTTCAATCGTTGATGCTCCGCAAGAGTGTGCCGTGTTCCTTTCCGGCAGTTCCAGCATCATTGCTACTTCAACTCTTCCCTTTTGGAGTGTTGCTGGATAGAAGAATGAATATCCTCATGGCTGGAGATAAAGTACGTACATTTTAAGATAGGAGTACTAGCCGTTCGGCTAGGATAATTTCCAGCTAACGTCTTATAATATATATATATATATATATATACATTATGTTCTATATTATAATCTTCATCAAGAACGGTTCTTAAAAGCAAAAAGATCGTTTAAAAAAAAGACACTACAAATTTTTTACAGTAGTATTTAAAACGACTATCTACGTATGAGAATATACTGTTAGATCACTGTAATATCCACCAATTTTACTTGCCACTTGAGCCTGATTAAGTTGGTATTAGTAGTATGTAATTATTTTTATTTTTCCAGCTAGTGCATGCTTGGGGAGGGCCGCTAAATCGTATAGAAAAGGCACCCATCGCCGAAATTTTGCGGTTGAGGAAACCAAAAGTGTCATTTACGTGGGATAAGGTAACAATTACGTATAATATTTTTGACGATTTATCATAATGTAAAAATTTGAATTGTAATTTACAAAAATTCGTATCAAAATTCAGAAGATACAACAAATACGACTATGTATTGCTTCAATGGTTCCTTAATATGAAATAGGAACCCTGATAGATTAATTTTCCATGCACTTGTATGACTGACAATGACAAATCATCATACAATTAATTATGCATAAATACACTTCGCAAATAAATCAAAACCAAGTGCTTCCACTGACCTGGCATCATGAAATTTGGAGAGAATGGGTCTTACAGTATAAGTAAAGTAAAATAATCCAAAAGTCGTATGTTTGTTTTTAAAACACTATTAAAATATAAGTTTTATAATCACAAACAATACTGATTTTGTTTACAAAAATTGACTGTAGTCTATATCATTGTTTGAATGTATATCCGAGTATTCCTAGAGCAGCAAAATTATGTATATCACTAAAAAAAAACGACAAAAATCTTCGAAAATCGCTTCCCAAGATGGTGGAGTTATCTACTCGTTTGTATTAGTTTATTTTGGTACCTTCTTGAGCAATTCATACTCTCATTAAAAAAAAAATAACATAAGGTCTCATTTTTCTTAACCTTGAAACCTCATAACCACCGCTGTTGAACAATTTTCCCATTATTTTTCAACGTGGGGTAGCGCTACCTCCCAACACTTGCTCGTTTCAATAAAAACAAATACCTTATAATCAAAGGCACATCACAAATGATTAAGAACTTGATAAAGGTTGTCAAAAAAACACGTAGGTAACGCCATATCTTAGTACATTTTTATATATTGCTTAAGGAAAATTGTTTATATGAAAGAAAAAAACATTTTTCTTTCATATAAACAATTTTTAGCGTTGCAACACTTGAGAATTAAATAAATTTAAACCCACAGACCAATCTCCAGGTTTTAGAATAATTAAAACATATATTATTTATTAAATATCATACTTTCTGTATTCAGGTGGTGTGTATGCAGACAATGATATTTGACTTGGAGCTGCTATACTACCGGGCGCGCGGAGGCACTGAGGCTAGACGAGGATCGCACGGCGCTCGCTCCATACTGCTGAGGGGGCCCATCTATTTACTGGAGGAAATTGATGCACTTATATTCTTGTGCAGTCCCATGTATGTACAACCTAAGACTTATGTACAGACCAACACCAAATCTTGACTTACATTTGACGGGCCTGTTTATATTGTCGACCAGGGGTTTGATTCCCATCTAGTACAAATATATTTACAAACAGTAGACCAAAACCTTTCCAAGAAGAGACCTTGGTCCAGCAGCGGCCTATTAAAGGCATGTGTGATGTGATTTGATGAGACATGCATTGTGTAATCAGTACGATCATTTGTTTTGTGTCTTACGTATTTATAAAAAATATATAAGTATGTTTATTAGCAGTCTGATTAACATATCACGGGCTTACTCCTATTTGGGATTTTCGTTGCCTTTCACTGAGGTTACCGGAGCCCAAATCCCCCCACCCGCTTACCCGAGCGGGAGGGACTCCAAGGGCAGCAACGCACTTGTGACTTTTGAGTTGCAGGTGTCCATGTAGTTGCTTACCATCAGATGACCCGTCTGCTCGTTTGCCCCTTTATACCATAAAAAACATGTCAAGACTTAACAAACAAAGTCACATTCATGTTTTATATCATTTAGAAGTAGCTTTTACCTGCGGCTCCCTTCGCATGAAATTGATTTTATAATATCATTATTACGAACGGCCAAGTACTAGATACCTTTGAATTGCCTGACATGACGTTTTAATCAGATTGCATTGTTCATATTCACAGGGGGCTCTGATCCTCGGTAACAGGACTAATTTCTGAATCAAGGATGCCCTACCTATATTCATTTCTCCGCTCCTGATAACGTGTATGAAACAGAGCATGCGGATCGATTCAGTAATTTTGCCTCAATGCGTATGCGGCTGGTGTGCTGAAATCTCGGGTTCGATTCCCGGGCCGATATATGTTTCGGAGTTTGGGTGTTTTCTATTTATAATATGTATGTATTTATAAAGAAGAAAGTATATAAGTATTCTATCAGTCACTCTAGCTTTCATAGTAATCAAGATTTCAAAGATCAAAGGAACTTGAGTACGCATTTATTAATAAACAAACAGCTTTACACTAATCTTGATGGCTACGCTATGTTTTGTCGTGTGCATATAAACTACTAAGCAATCCTTTAAAAGGCTTATTAATCAGTTCATTTACGTAATGAGCTAATGTTTGATTTTAGTTAGGTAAATTACAATAGAATTAAAACGATATTATCCCTGCGTACACCTACGTCCTTTAGTTGTTTTCTTTCAATGTTGTATTCGGAAATTCTGATTCCATAATAATGTACGTATACGATTTATTGACACCGAAAACACCTCCAGTTAAGCGAAATACTTCTTCTGTTAGGAGTGTTCAACTTTTATCGTCTTTAGCTTTAGTCATAACAGCCGCTTCATATACCCATTATAATATTTTTCAGATTCAATGATCTCGAAGAATTGCGCCAAGTAGGTTTATTCGTAGCTGATATGAACGGACATGGACTATCAAAGGAAATGCTTTTACAAGGCTGGCAACATCTCTCCAGATTGGAACTGCTTTTTGAAAAAGCGGAAAGTAGAAGTCTTTCTCTAGAGAAGTCCTGCAGACTCCTGGACCAATGGAAGAAAAGAGGAGACCAACTATTGTATTCTATGATACCGAAAGGAATTGCTGAGCATTTGAGGGCGGGAAAGGACCCCATGGCGGCTTGTCAGGTATACATTTATATTGTATATTGTCGATAAAGTAAAAACAGTTTAGTACTTTTTTCTATTTTGTTGGTTAATCGATTTTCCGTTTTTCTTTGTTTAGTTGTTCTAGTGTTTTGTACTACAAGCTTTTTCCCGCAGCTCCGCCCGCGCGTATAATAATTTATTAGTTATAAGAGTTATAAGAATTTATTAAATATGTTTTGTCGTTTAGGCGTGAAAGCGTAAGAAACAAATAAACATAAAACGAACAAACAAACTCAATTTCATATTTATGATACAAGTATAGTATTGATAAAAAAATAAGTGAATAACATTAATTATACTATAATTTTCAAATAAATGTGTCTAACGAAAGCATATCATTTTTGGAATACTTGATGTTCTTTGTAGAAGTGCAAAAAGGTATTTTTTTTTTAAAGTAAAGTTAAAAATTACGTAAAAACAATTAACTACCCAGCAGTCATCACTATTGTCCAGGTCCAGTATTTTCGTTGATCTTTCACGGCACCTAAGTCTTTGTAATGTCTTAATAAAAGTAAAAATAGACCAATCTAGGTGATCACCTGTAATTGTAACCAGGATATGTCTTTGTAGAGTACGATGTCTCAAGTCAAACAACTTACAGGTTTAGTTTTGCACGAGAAGCGCCTGTTGAAAAAATCAGAGCAACACCAAATTTAATATGTTTACGGGAATTAACGCGATCATGATATGTATTCAGTATAACCTTTATGCCTGACGTATAGAATTACATACTTAAAATGATGATGATATTGATGATGAAAACGAATACCTTTGCGTTTTAGTCATATTACCTTTTATAAAATTATACATTTGGGTTACTGCAAATTGAAAACACCCTATCTTGGGTTCGTGAAGTAATAAACATGGAATTAAAATGCCTAATATTAATCATCGGCGTTCTATGCGTCGATGAATTCATCAAATTTGAGGCAAATATATCATCAAATTAAATGACAATCTAGTGAAATAAATTTATTTTCAAAAATTCCCTGAAAACACAGAAAATGAATACGTGGTGTTATTAAACCGTCAAGTACTTACTTAAAACAGAGAAATAGACATTGTTCTGTGCTCGATACATATGATATTTCGCAGGTGACTTGGCAAGTAAACTAACAGTCCATGATTAACACTGTCCAAAGTCTTAAGAATTACGAAGTTTTGAAAGTTGGTGAAAAGGGTTTTGATGTCTTAGTTTAACGCGGTCAAGAAAAAGCAATATACGAGTGTAATGAAATCATTTGTTTACAGGCGTTCGACAATGTTACAATAATATTTTGTGGCGTGCAACTAGCGCAGGACGATACTCGTCCCGATGTCATGCAGACTGTGTGCAGACATGTGGCTTACATAAACGACGTATACTCCAGGATAGACAGACTGCTTGACACACATCGCGTATATAAGGTATCTTTAAAATACCTTCATTTTTGCCGGTGCTTGTTTTCACAGTTTGAGCTTTTTCTAAGAAACAATGCCGTTGCAACCTTCATTCGTTCATTTGTTTTTATTTATGAGACGTCATTAAAACATTAAATAACACAACTTAGAATAAGGTTTCATCATCATCATGAAACCTTATTGTGTTATTCTAAGGTTTAAAATATCTTTATTTCTCGTAAGAATTTTCAATATTTTACTTTCATGAGAAAGTTTAAACTCATTCACTACAAATAATAATGTTGTCCTTGGCGTACACTGAGTTTTTTTTTTGTTGACGAGGTGGAAAATCCCTTCGGATCTCCGGCTCCTCGGGGACGCAGGGGCCAGAGTATGATTAACTGAAATGCAATTTATTCCCTATATAGACAGCTACCTGGTAGTAAAATATTATAATATAAGATTACCCGGAACAAACAGACAGACAAAAAATATTTAAACTGGTTTTTTGGCATATAACCGTGCAAATAACCTTGTGAGCATGAAAATACTTATTATTTTGACATTACAAACATGTCAATTTTATTTACTTGTAACGCAATTTCGCTTAATTTATGAAAACACAATTATTCAATAAGAAACAATCCAAAATGTGATTTCGATTACGGCATATTGTGCTTTAACAGGTGGAAACCGTGGGGACGGTTTATATGTTGGTGTCGGGAGCTCCAGAACGGCGCCGGACACACGCCGCCTCTGCCGCAAGCGCTGCTCTTGCCATCCTGAGGGCAATACCTGTGCTCACTATTGGTATATTATAGTACTATATTTACATTTGTCGTAGATCTCTTTTTTCTTTTTTTTTTAAATACAATAAAGACAGGGAAAACTAAATTCCTTATGAGACAGACGAAATTGCGAGGGTCAACTGGTTGAAGATAAATTACACACAGATACAGAACAAATAATCGTGCTTATCACACAATATTTATCCTTGGTTGTCTAGTCAGGATCCATTACCGTTAGACCAACAAGCCCGTCAAGGCAATCAACAAGTATGATGGTCAAGCATTAGTAACATTGTATTATTATGCAGGTACTTCGGTGTGTTTTAATTTTATAACTGCGACAATAGCTATAAATGAATTCAGCATGAGTCCATGAATTCTCGATATGAATGTTGAAGTGGAAATAGTCACTTCTGCAGTTGCGATAAACTGAAACTAAATCATTAAACAAGTACGTTACGAAAACAAAATTTTCTTTAAAAAAATACGTTTGATATTATCAGGTATTCACACCGGTCCAGTGGTGGGTGGTGTGTTGGGGTTACGCCTTCCTCGGTACTGCCTTGTGGGTGACACCGTCAATACCGCAAGTAGGATGCAAACGACTTCCGAGGTGAGTATTCGATTTTAAAATAAGCTATTTTTTTACATTTAACGTCACTGACCACCGACAAACTCTTCTCTTAAAATGAAAATATAAAGCAAATGTCAAAAAACAGTTTCATTAAAAGTTGCAGCATTGTTAGAACTGTCTGGCTGTTAACATATGCTTTCCTCTGCCTCTTTACTTCACATTCAAAATATTTGTTAATAAGCTAAGCTTTTAGTAAAAATACTTAAATCATAGATATAATAAATGTTAATGTGTTAATTGATAGCGGGCACACCCTGAACCCTAAAGCACTGTTTTTTTTTTCAAATAGAAATAGGACAAAATTTAAAGTATAATAATTCCTTATAGGATTTTGTTGTTGTAGGACTTTGTTGTTGTTGGATTTTCTACTTGAAGATTATCGACGCTTTTATAATTCCTAACTTGTTAACGTTTTAACGTTTACATAGATTTCTTGGATTCAAATCAGATAAAGAATCTCGATCAAGACACCTAAACAAATTAAAACATATCCCAAATCGGTATATCAATAAGAAAACATAACTTTGCATACCTACACAAATACAAATTACATTGCTGTTTTTACATTACTGGTTCAAAAAGTACAAAGTTCTAAAATTTATTTCAATATTACAATTAAAAAAGAAAATGTCCTGGCTGCCGGGTAACGTTTTCAAACGTTACTCAGAAGGAATAAGGAATGTTTTTTGTGAAAATAACTAAAAAAGTTTAAGTGAAACAAATTTAAAAATGTGCCTAACAATTACAGAAGGGGAGCAACTAATTATCTATAACGTTTAAATGACCATTTTCGACATTATTTTGCTGGGGTAACGCACACAAATACCATTATGTTATTATAGAACTATGTATCTATATCTATTTTATCATTTCTGGAGTGTCCTGATTTGATCTATAGATAAGCGTTTTTACTTAATTTTTCTTTTATAGCCTGGTCGAATTCAGATATCTGCTTTGTCTGCTGCGCAACTACCAGCAGGGAGGTTTAGGCTGCGACCACGAGGAAATATCAAAGTTAAGGTTAGTGTTTTATACAGATAACATAATAATCCTCAATTTTTGTTTGGAAAGTCCAATGCGTCTTTACGTCACCAGGGTTATTTGTAACGGTTACCAAACTATCGAAACGACTAACATCTCACGGTGTTTCGTCATAGATAATCTGTTTTACCGCCTTTCGCTTGCTCTTTCTTATACCTCTATGATTGTCACCGCTGCAATCTCTCTTGCGATATTTTCGTTTCTGTGTATCGCGTTTATGTACTTACGATACCTAAGCCGATTATTTTAGATCGTCAATTAAAAATCACTGTAAAATTCTACAGGGTAAAGGCATGATGGAGACATTCTGGCTGGAGGGTGAAGTGGAGGAAGAAGACCAGAATGAAGCTTTACAGTTATTCTCAACTTTGTGTGGCGAAAACTAGTATGATAAGTAGTTTTTCTGCGACTATTTACTTATTAACATTAAGAGTAGAGTATTTTCACCGTGGCCTCAGGTGAAAAGATGAAAAAATCGCTGAGACCTTTGTAACTTGGCGTACTGTTGAATAAAGGAGGCTATAGAAGAAATTTTATAAGAAACTAACGTGGATCTTCATCGTAATAATAATTTCAGACATAGGACGTCGGTCTGTACTGCTGCTTGATAGCTATACGTACCTTGATGTCCTCAATGACTTTCAAAACCGATTGGAAGCGGCCTGCATCCATGATGATATACTGTAGTACACCCTAGTAGGGGTGAGTCACCATCATCATATTAGAGCCTATGATCATAGAATTTATGCTAAACCATAGAGCAAAAAACCTATGTCATTGAGTAGTTTGACATGAATAAAAAAGTTATTAACGTGTTAACTAAAAATATATACCTACCTAAAATACGTTAATACAATGTTTCTAATCTTAGACTAGGCTTACTGACATCATAAAGTATCAGTATTAATTAATTTTATTATAGTACCGAATATAGATACTAATACAAGATAGGCTCATAAATGATTATCAGTGCCGATTAAAGTTATTGATTAACCAATACTAGCTCTTTGATTGAATTTAGTTTTGACGATAAGATAATCTAATTTCAAACGGGTGTCCGACGAGGAGGCCCGAAAAGTCTTATCATCTATACCTAAGGTAAATATTACCTATTTCAGCATCTTAAGGCCCTTACAATTTTAAATTCAATTCTAAATAAAATATTACTTCAACTATTTCTGTTTAATGAATTTGTAGATATATTTTGTGAGTAATAAAATGCATAAAAAAAATTTGATTCGAGTTAATTAGTGAACCCAATTAGATAGCCCTATTTCATGAAGTTGTTTTGTTCCTAAAATGATCCGTTTCTAAGTACGTGCAATCATAACGCCCGTATAGTAATAATAACACAATAATTTAGGAATAATAAGAACAGTCTACACAAGAACAATTAAGTAAATGGTTAAAGACTAGTCAACGACCTTAAGGCGTGAAGCTGTGCGGTATAACGCTGTACCTAGTTAGGCAATAAAATAATGCTAATAGAGAAATAAACCAAAACACAACTAATAAATATTAATAATTTAATATCAACAGACGAATTAAATTCGTTTTTTTTTCCTTTTTCCATTTTGATTCAGATAATTAGGTACAATATAGTGTTTCATAATAATAACTATAGGTAATATAGCTAACAATTACATGTATAATAACATAATTATGTATTTATTTTTAACAAGCTTCTGTGTGGATAACAATAAAAAAATATATATTTACAAAATTGAAAAAATAAATTAATATTTTATTGTATTTTAAAAGAGCTGTGAACAATTTGATGTATTAAAACGCATTTAGCTTACATAATTAAGTTTAAATAAAACTTATAAAATTATTGTTACGTGGCACTTAATTTATCAGAAATAGGATCAAACTTATTATTATTATTTTAAAATCTTTTTTATTTAGAAGAAATACATTGGTCATTTAATATAATGCACACTTCAATGGGTAGATACTTAAGAAATACAATTTTAAAATTATACTGAACATTAATATATCTTTATTATTTGTACTCCTTTCTAAGGAGAGGCCTATGTCCAGCAGTGGACTGTTAAAGGCTGTTGATGATGATGATGATGATGATGATTTGAACTGTATCATGACCTAATGCACTTTATTGTGGACTTCTGATACTATCACCACGCCTACAAAATAGCGAGATAAAATTAAATAAATGTAACTTAGTATAAAAATTCTTTCAACTTACTTGGCTATTAAAGTCTACAGCTGAAATAGATCTTTAGAGGTGATTGAATAATTGAGCTTTGATCATACTTAAACATAAAAATGTGCGGTAAACTATTTACAATAAATAATGCAGTTTCTAACAAATACCGTACGTATTGGAATGGTTTTTACAATTTGTAAATACTTTACATAAGAATACAGATATAATTCCTATAATAATAACATATATGTATAGCTACTTTGAGCTGGGGATTAGGTTTAAATACCCATACGCACACAAGTGGTAGATAAGTACGTACACACTACAAATTTGACAAAGTTCAAAGTTACGAAACTTGCAGAAGAAAAAACATCTACTTGTTTTTACAGAAAGGCACTGTCATGGTGCAAGAAGGGAACTACTGTAATTAATATTTCAAATATTATTATTTCTAAATATTACTTCTATTCTTAAATTAATGTGCCACGAAAAAGACAAAAAGGATTATTTTTTATTTCTACATAATATATAAACAATAAAATAACATTTTACCTTTAATTTTTACCGTAAAGGCTACATAAACGATATGGCAATCATAACTTTTTATGTATCAACCAAACGCATTCAAGATTTCGTTAGGAATTTCTGTTACAGATATAATATATTTGACCAAAGATTATTTAAATGGATGTCAGTATTTTATTATTCAAGAAAACCTTGCTTTAATTGTAGTTCTTAAAATAATAATATTGTGAAGATCAACACATTTATATGTTTATCTTGTTGATCTAAATATTAAAATTAAGCAAGTAAGCTAGCTCGCCGATTTAAAATTTAACGTTATCTGATGTCTTCTGAATAACAGGTTTTTACATTATGATACACTTTATTCAAACCGTTAAATCTTGAACTAAAAAGCAAATTAATAAAATGTTTGTTAAAAGTTTTTTCATGATATATTGGGTAAGGCATAACTGCATAACTGGGGATAATGTAGACCAATACATTTGCTTTAATTCTTTTAGTAACTTTCTATGAAATGATTACCACGTTTTTTGCATTTAAGATGTTACATAGGTACATAATCAATATGTCACCGGATATTTATTGAATATAAGCTTACTTGTCAATAACCTTTTTTCATCTATAAATAATCTAAACATAAGCAGATTACTTTATTATAGTGCCAATTTCAATAACAGGCACTGATAACATTTGATGAAAATCCTTAGGTGAACTATCTATGACGTCACTGATAAACTAAGTTACCAGACGGTCAATTCTTGTAAAAAAATCTATTACTGATCTACTCACAATCTCACAAATGGCATGAAAGGTATTCTCGTAGTAGTCTTTTCGTCGATCGAGATTAGAATTGAACTGAATTATGAACGATTGTTTATTATGACAATTGACCTTCCGGAAACGACCTACTGTGAATCTATAGTAATCACAACATCGCGACTAAAGGTCTACTGTAGAGCCTTTATCGTGATATTGATTTACGTTTACTTCACATGTGATAAAAGACCTAAGAACTGGAATTCTTGGAAAATACGGAACAATGAACATTATATTTAGAATTTTTTTTTAATGTGGCCATGAATCTACGAAAGTTTTGCGATTATATGAAAGAATAACTTTGAAAAGTAGTTATGTTATAAAAAATATAAAATGTATTCTTCATTTATTTTCTTCAAATTTAACTGGGATAGTTTAAACTATATCTTTTCAGAGACTTTCGGCTCAGTTTTCTTTAGGAAACAGAAAGTTTCATACTGCAATTTATTTACATCTAAGGCAATGTTGTATCATCTACAGAATGTTAGAAAAGTACCGGCACAGCAGAATCATTCGCTAGGGCTGCACTTTTCGGAAATACGTTAAAACAAAAGTTTTGGGAAAAACAAGAGTATTTGTATAATAAAAAACGGTTGTGTGGAAGTAACTCATTTTCAACGTTAGAAATAAGAAAAAAAATCACGGACACTGGCTAATTTAAAAATAAACAAAATTTCTTATTATCAGTTGTTTTTGGACTATATTTCAACTTCTAGAGTGTGAGTGTGTGTGTACGTGTAGTCAATGCAAATTTTGCGTATTTGTATATTCTGCCATTGTCAACGTTGTCGCTTTGAAAACAATATTCTTTCGGCATAGGGCAATGACCACTTTGTCATTTTGTAGACTAAAATGACTTTTTTCCTTCATAGACTCAAATTAGTTCCTGAATTATTTATCATCTTTTTATTAATTCCAACTAGCCAGAATTTCTTGATTGACGCTTATCATCTGGCAAAGGCATTACTTTATCGGCCAAGTAAGTAGTTTATACACCGTATTTATGGCTGAATAAATAAAGGTAAGGCACTAGAATAGACAAAAAAAACTATAATTCATTTGTCGAACCGTAACGGCCCGAACATATAATATTAACAATAAGAACATAATTTTTAAGAACAAACATAACCTTTTGGTCCTCAAACCTTTTTACTCTTATAAAACGTCTACCACCCATGGGATATTTATCTAAAAGTATTTCCTAGGTAGTACTACGACGACAATTGGAGGATTTAGGGAAGAGGTCGTATTAATGGTGGGGTCACATTTACAGTTAAGGCTATGCTTATTATTATGAATATCCGGCAATTGTGATCCCAATAAGCCCTCTTTTGGCCCACAAAGAAAAAAACAGCTAACTTGTATTATTTACCTATTAATGGCTGTATGCTCAAACGCAACTCTATCAATAACATGTGTTACAATTAAGTGCCAGTATACTTGTACCGAGGGTTCTTAGTCGACATTTCAGCTTACCACTTCATTCATCTCACATACAGTACTTGTATTTTATTTAGTTAAGTAAATACTGTTTGTATCTCGGGTTTACCCATCACTATTGTCTATTCGCGTTAAGAAATTAGTGACGCATTGATCAAGATCCGTGCCCTGACCAATCAGGTTCCAAGAAATTATCGTTTTGTACGACAGCTTGGAACCTGATTGGTCAATAATTCATTAACGCGAATGGACTATAGTAATTTGGATAACTCATCTAGCTAAGCTACATAAATACTTATCTTAAGAGTGAGTTGAAGTCGGTAGCGAGTGCGGTCTACAAGTCTTTACCAATGCGCCTTTTACCAATGAGGTATTATAACGTTCTACTTTATTTTAAGTATATCTGTATCTAAGTGTAGTTCAAATGTGAAATATTTAATGTGCGATAATAAATAGAAACTTTCTATTATAACAATAAATTAAATAGATATCATTCATAACAGTTTACGATGCTGCCATACCGTTTACAGAAATTAACAAAACTTTATTGGTATATCAATACTTTACGACAGACCTAACAAGAATATAGGATTGTAATAAATCATTGAGCTACAGGCAATATTACTCCATCATTACTTACAGATAATTATCACATAATGGCTACTAAGTATTATACTTTAACACTCAATGTTAATTCTCTATTAAATACCACTATCTCTTTAACATATAAAGTGAATAATAAAGTAGGTAGATATATATTACACTGTTTTCTAAAATACTCATACATTTTAAATTTTATGGTATAATAAGTACTTTACAATAATATCAAGTTTCAAGAAACTTTTGTTTTAAATGAGGTGTTCAGTCTTAAATATTTTTATAGAAAAATGGCAGAGAGATGAAGAGGAAATAGTCTTCACTCGCTCACTTTTATTATTCTATAAAATTTGATTTAAATACAGTTTCTATCACAATACAATGTGTACTTACTTTTATTACAATGTTGCGTACTGGATAAGCTTATATCTAAGGAATGTCGCTTAAATCTACAAAATGTTAATTCTTAAAGAGAGCTGTCACCTCCTCGATTGTTCTATTCTTTGTTTCAGGCAGTTTAAAGTATGTGAACGTAAAGAATAATATGAGAAGGACGGTGTACGGTAGGAACACATAATTGCCTAATGCCCTCGACATTGGAATAAAAGTCAGTCCAACGATGAAATTAGCTAACCAGTTAACTAGAGCTCCTACGCTGACCGCCGCGCTCCTAGCTCCCTGACCGAACAACTCCGACAGCAACATCCAAGGTATGGAACTGGGACCCACACCAAAGAAGGCTACGTATAGGAATGTGAAAATTACGGCAAATACACTCATCGTTGCGTTTTGTTTGTATGTAAAGAAGGCAACAGTCATGAGCACTGAGAAAACAGCCATACCACCAAGTCCCCAAAGCTGCAGCGTGCGCCTACCGAGGCGGTCCATCAACGGAATAGACACCAAAGCCATTATAAAAAGTACACTGCCCACGCCTATTGCCGCTAATCTGGCCTTCTCCGGCATTAATCCAGCATTTTCAAATATTGTTGTTGAATAATACAAAACAGCATTGATTCCTCCGAGCTGTTGAGACAAATGCATCACAACACCAATTATGAGCGGCTGTCTCAGTGCCTTGATCTTAATCAAATCGAGAATGGTGAATTTCTTCTCCTGTCTTGCCGCGTTGTCCTCCATATATATGTCATGAATCTCATCGTCAACTGCCACCATTCCTCGGATATTAGTTAACACCGCTCTTGATTCTTCCTCATCGCGTACAACCAGCAACAAGTAACGAGGACTTTCAGGCGCAAAAATCAGCATAAGAAACTGGACGCTGGATGGCACAATGGCCAGTCCAAGTAACCAAGGCCAACCTTCATTGCTACCCAATATCACGTCAATACCTAGTATCTGTCCTCCAACCAGACCTAAAGCGACTGCTAATTGATTGACTGTACCAAAAGCACCTCGCAGTGATAAAGGTGCCATTTCTGATACGTATGTCGGCGAAGCGGTGGTAGCGAAACCACAGTTAATACCGATTAAGAACCTGCCGATAATTATCATTTCGACCGATTCAGCCACTTTGCTGAATCCCATTAACGCAGCGCCTAAAACTCCAAAAGCAGCGTTTAAAAGTAGAGATTTTTTACGACCATACTTTTCCATCATCCAGCTCGCAAGTGGGCATCCGATCATACCGCCCACGGCAAATATGCTGACGATTAAACTAAAAATTAAAGTTTCGTTGGCGTCGTATTGTTGGCCGATAAATAACTCGATGAATGCACGAGGTGAGTTGATGACACCAGTGTTGTAGCCAAACTGCAGCATTCCGAGGACGGCCGACGTCACTGCGTACAGCAGTGGGCCAGTTACTTTGCCACCGTCTCCCGACATCTTCGGTTTCGGCGATCCTGAAATGGCAACAGACAATATATCAGTATACTTATAGATAAGGCATCGCGTCAGAGTTAAATACGATTTGAGATTATCTAATCAGAGATTTAATATAAAACATGTCGTATAGATTACATATTGATATGAGATAAAAGTGCTCCTAGTAGTTGTCACTTCTCTCGTTAAAACACATGTGCAGAGTAGGCTAAATACCGACATGTAGTATGATATTTTTTTATATAGTTGGAAAACAAACTCTCCTTTTAGGTAATAGGGTTTTAATTAAATCGCTATGGAAAGAATTGCACTTATATTCTCATTTCACCTAGTCTTTAACTCTATCAATTGTTCTGACGTTCAGTGAACAATGACAAATTCTGAACTTTATAATCTGAATGCTGTTTTAATTTTTTTTAAATGTAATACTTTTACTTTGCAAGTAGATTAATAAACAATGTATAGGTTATCACACTTGTTTTTGTAACTGTATTACTATATATAGTTATATATACGAGACTGTTCATATCGTTGATATATTTTAGTAATCAAACATTGATCAATTAAAAAATAATCAAAGTGGAAACAAATTAATAGCAATTAAATAAGTGATTTAGATTACCTTTATTGATAACAAAATTAAATGTAATTACTATTTTAACTGTTTACAGAAGGCAAACATATAGATAATAGCTATATGTACAATTTATATATATCATTGTTTATCTAAAATATATTTTTTTGTATATTATATGTATGTATAGTTCCATAACTGCAAATCAATAATTATTGATTTGCAGTTATGGAACTATACATAACTGCAAATCAATAATTAGTTGTCAATTATGATGGAGGTAATCATGTTTATAAAGTTTTTTTTGCCATTTATATCTATTAATATACAGCTGCCTAGTCGTTCTGTCAGTCTGGGTGTAATTTGTTTATAATATGTGTGTATTTAAAAATATAAAAGTATATTTGTCAGCAGTTTGGTTATCGTAGGACGGGATCTGTCTAGTTTGGGATCAGACTGCCGTGTGTCAGATGTGTAAAGTTATTATTATATTTATAATTTAATCAGATCATTAATCTAAAATGTATACCGTATAAACAAAAACAGATTTCACAAACACCATTAACAACATACCTCTGAAATTGCATAACAAAAATCTAACCAAAATAAATATTTAAATACAAGCCTTTACCTGAAGCTTCGCCCGCGTAAATATCGGTTATAAGCGGTAAACTAGTAGCCTATTGTTTTCCTCAAGAATCTAAGTATGTTCATACCAAATACCATCTAAATTGGTTCAGCGGTTATTGATTCCGCCATACAAACTTCCGGGGGGTGGATGTTGTATGTTGCCCCTTTTCGAACACCTTCATGGATGTGTTCTTGGATAAAGACTACCCTATGTCCGTTCCCGAGACTCAGATGATCTCTGTACCAAATTTCATCTAAATCGGTCAGCGGTTAAGTGCGAAGATGTAACCGACAGACAGATATTACGCATTTATAATATTACTAATACTAGTATAGATTAGTATAGATACTCGTAAATAAGTATGTGATGTATACGACGATAATATTTAAAATTAACTACGGTTATACACGATGGAGCGGATCGAAAGTTGTATGACCATGACTGTAAAATGTAATTTGAAACATGCATGAAACAATATAAGCTAAAAAATAAAATAACGAATAATAACTTACAACTAAGTATTTATATTGTATTGTACTGTATTGTATTTTTAAAACAACGAATTATCAACGTGACTAAATAGTTTTTTGTGTGTATGTTACGAGATATATTCGCTATTTGTGATTCCGATATTCATTTTAATATTTGCGTCAGTTGCTACTTTTTTAACCGACTTCAAAAGGAGGATGTTTTTTTTTAATGTATGTTCTGGCATAACTCCGTCATATGTAGACGGATATGCAAAATTATTTTTTGTTCGAAAGGGGTTTATTCCGAAATGATCAGATTTAGATTTGACAGCAAATCAACCGCGATTTCTGCTAGGTTTTTAGTGCTCTTTGTTAGCATGGTTAGAAATCGGTTTGAACTTTGTTTTTATTTATCTTGTTCATATGGTATAGGGGCAAAAGGGCAGCCGGATCACCTAATGGTAAGTGTCTACGCGCCGCCCATGAACACCTGCAACTCAGGAGTCACAATTGCGTTGTCGCACTTTCATACCCACTCCCGAGGATTGGGTACTTAAGGCTAGTGAGAATTCAAATATCAAAAAAAAACAACCCCTAAAGGATGGATAATTAAGTGATGAAGAATACTACTTCAAGTTAATCATTAGTCTTAGTAGATGATAATTTTTAAAAGTAGATTAAAGAATAGGTATGGGTAGTTACTTATCGGATTATTTGACACTATAAATATACATAGAAATGATATTGCTTAATACGTAAACTCATATTAGGATTTCCCATTCCATTGAAACAATAGTAACCGCTTTTTATCATGTGTTTGTTTACTTCCTTAATGGTGTGCGAAATTTCACGAGTTATGTCATTTAAATAAGTTCAATTTGAAAATTTTGTTTTATATACCTAATAGATATAGACTTAAGGTCCTAAGTAGATCCACTTAAATTCGCTGCTTTGCGGCAATGAATTTGTGATTTTGACCTTTTTTTTTTCTAACCAATGTCAGATGTTCCCGGTACAATATCTAAGATTTGAATTTTGCATACTTTTCAAATTTGACAGAAATTCGAATCACGTCAATATTTTCGTATGCCTGCCATATACTCGTATATTTACGTGTTGGTTATACATGGCAACGGTATAAACTGTGTAGCCAATACTAGCAATAATAATACGAGATACGTATGTATTACTAGTACTTCCTTCAACTAAGCTAAATGTTTGAGTTGTGAGTGGGGTAAAACTAGGTGGTCGAGCGATTGGATCAAAATATGACTGACGTCTGCAGCCATTAAGCTTACACTGCACCGCCGCTATGTTGTTCGTAGTAGGCTAAATCAATAAATTTTTACCAAATTAAATTACCGTTACGTAATAATCTCTTTGTATTTGTCTAAACATTTGACAAATACATAGAATTTTATAATATTATAATAGAATATTATAATCCCATAATCTGCGATTCTAATTGATAATTTTTCAATCGATACGGATAACTAAATCAAAACAATGATTACAAACGGAGGCCATAAATAAGTTTATGGCGGTAAGATTGTAACAAGGTATAACATAAAATATGCAAGGCACTTATAATATGCCTTGAATATGTGTAAATTAAGGAATACAATTCACCATCAAAGTCAATGCAAAATAAAATCGAAAATATATTTCTCCATTTAGGACGACTTATTATGTGATTTAGGTCACAAAACATATACACACTCACACACACACGCACACCCACACGCACACACACACCACACGCACACACACACACACACACACACACACACACAATCAGTAATTAAGACCACTACAAAAAGACACACAGCTTTTCGAAATCCACAAAGTCATTTTTATGTATCTAGTTTTTTGTATAGTTATCGTGCCAGCGCGATACCCACTTTACCCACTTTAATAACACATTTTTTTACATTGAAAATACAAATATTCATTGAACCTAAGTGTATATACAACATTTACAGTACTACATTTATGGATAACATATATTATATTCTCTAGGTTTTAAGTTATGTATAAATAGAACGGTAGCTGTTTAAAGAATTAAGATTATTCTCTTAAATTTTCAACATACTATCGTATCTTATAAGATAACATACATCAGATTCTATCAGGCATGTTGATTGGAAAATTAGCAATTTAATACTTCAAAAAGCAAACTAAGTAATTACCAAATAGCACGCTAACATTTTAATGGCTTCTTGTAAAATATTTATCATAATTAACGTTATAAACAATATCACAGAAAATTCAATGTTATGCGGTATTGAAGTCTGAGATATTTTTATAATCGCTATGAACAGTATTAAACCGTATTCTTCGTTCCTGAATTTTCACCCTTAGGGGTAGAATGTTTTCTTTAAATTAATATAATTTAAAATCGGTTCATAACTGACGAAGGCTTGAGGTAACAAACAGAAAAACATACAGTCGAATTGAAAACCTTCTCCCTTATCAAAGTCAGTTAAAATGTAACACTGACCCAGTCATCAATTTAAAAAAAATCCAATCGTATTTCATCACATCATAACCAACAGCCTTTAACTGTTTTAGTCGGATCTTACGACACCCATAGGTTGAATATGGTGGCGTTCTTAATCGGTAAACAAACGAACGTCACCAATCGCATTTAAATATTCCAATCGCACATATAACTCACCGGTCTCCATTTGTGGGATAAACACGTCTGATCGTTACGAAACACAAAATAGTTGTATTAATCTTCAAAAGAATGAACTTTATCAATAAACTATAGAATGATAACAAATCAAATTGATATTTGAGATGTCACCAGTAGATATAATAGAATCTTTATTTGTGTTACCTTTATCAGAACATATAATTTTTTATTATGGGTAGGTATTAAGTGACGAGGTTGAATAAAAACAACTTTATAGAACACAAAATCGAAGCTACGGTAAGTCTGTGTACTAATTTTATTTTGTTCAGAATCGAATCTAACGGTTTTCGGAATATAATCTAATTTATAAAAAAATCACGAGCTGAATATTGAATGAGCAATTCATGTACCTGAATTATTCTTGTTCAATATGCTTGCTCTTTACTATAATATATATTTAGTTAGTTGAGAAACGCATGTTAAATAGATATTCATTGTACGGAAACCCTCTCCAACGGAGTTAAACTAAGGTCCGTGTTGTATTGACTGCACGGATTTCGTAGTGGTTTAAGCGGTCGCCACGCCGCTTACTAGCTACTTTGAGTGTTGTGGGTTCGATCCCCACATGGGACGACACTTGTGTGATCCACAAATTGTTGTTCTGAGTCTGGGTGTTCTTTGTGTTCGTTTCATATATGTTTGTAAAATCCCCTGCGACACAGGATATATTCCTAATGCGGGCGTTGTCTTTTATAAACATTAATCATTATTATTTGAGATATGATACAATTATCAACATTATTTTGGTGTTTTTTTTGTAGTTATGTTATCGCTTAATATGTAGATCTCATTTCCTATAATAACAATGTCTGTAGGAAAATAATAAATACAGTGTAACATAGTAATAATAACTTTAATGAGAGGACTACCCGACTAAACTCGTAGGCAAGATTTCTTTTAGGATGAAGCAAAACTAGGGACTGTAAATAATAATCATCCTTGGAGCCTTTTACCAAACTTAGTTTTAGGGTCGGATTTCAGTCTACTATTACACTAGATTTTTTACGTGGAGTGACTGCCGTCAGACCTCCAGAACCCAAGTACTGTAAAGTCCTATAGATAGATTGTTGACGGACTTTTGAGGACTTACAACTACCCGTAACGATAGTTTTGCGTACGCCAGCGACCTCTATTTTCAGTATACAGCTGGACACTTTTTCAACTTTCCCCTCATATGAGATGGTTCTCCTTGCCTCTACCCTCCATAGGTCGTGTACAATTGATTGATTGAAAAATCCTTTCGGTATGTTCTCTATGGTTTTCAAACTCTCCGCGCAGTCGTGTGCCACCACCACTCTTACATGCTGTGTTCGATTACCGATCACAGCTTGTAAGAGTGGTGCAAACCCCACTATATCCCACCATGGCTACGTACTGTCCAAACGATTTCAATATATTTAACAACGACAGATGGCTCATTAAAAACACAGGAAACAAACATGTCAAATATCATAAAAATGTTGAACTAAGTAGATATATATGACAATAATAACTGCTACAAATGAACAATAGGAACATAAATTGACAATGACGCAAATCAAACAATAGCATAATAAGTTAAATTTTAATACATAGGTAGGAACTACAAGTTAATGAAACTACGAAACTATTAAAAGACATTTATTATTCACTATAAAATATGAGAACAAAACACCTTTTGCTACAGAGTTAAAGACTTTTTTTTATAATTTTCCGTTTTGTTAAACGGCTTTGCAAGAAACAACACTCCATAAATTAAAAACAAAGGTTGTAAACGAAAACTTAAACTACATACTTCACTACAGACTTTCACATGTAAAAAAACAGACATTATTTTGAAACTCGTAAAACAAAGAATGTTTCCTTGGAAAATGTTATCAAAACAATTTGTGTGTGAAAAAAGTGGGGATTTCTTTTTTATATATCCTGTGTAAATACTAGTAGGTATTCCATGTAATTTTCTGTACCTCTAACAATGTGTACACAATTTTTATTTTTGATGATCAAAATATTTGACTATTTAATATTATGTCAAGAAATACACTATGTTTTTTTCTTTCTTAAATGAAGGGTTTTATCGCTACACTGAAGTTTGAAATCTAATTAATAACAAAATCCATCAACTTTCGAAGAAAACTAATGTAAACACGAACACTAAGAAAGCGCATTATACGACACTTTGGACACGCAAGAGTAACCGTATTCACCGTGTATCCATTTTCGTTTCATTGATATTTAGGTAACCCTTTATTAACTCTTCAAATGACTACACCTTTTCTTATTACGTACCTATGTATTAAATCTGTGTATACATGTATGTATCCAATATCTAGTTAGAAACAGTGTCAATATGATTCATCGTTATCCATTCTAATCTGTGCCTTGATTGTTCGCAACGCGCTAATCTCCAGAACCACAGGTAGTTTTTTTTTTATTGGATTATTATTAATATATTCATTGTGCAAGGTTACAGGTTTTAAAATGTTTAGATGTAAACATTCCAAAACTATACTATACCAAATAGAGTATTATCTATTTATGTACGCTGAATAATAGTCCTATTTTTTTTAAACTAAGTAAGCAAGCTGATATTGATGTATTTAACAGCAATTTAAAAACATATATTATTATTTGAATCGTAATCACATTATACAACATAATAATATACTAGGTGATTCTGTACCTCGTTTAAGACTGTAATAAAAGAAGGTGTACTTGTAAACAGGTTTTAAATAAATACATAGTTGTGATATCCGCGTGAATAATTAATGTCATTCATGTAGAAACGAACAGCTTGGGCACCTGATGGCAAGTAACTCCCGCCGCCCATAGTCACTTGTAAGTAGAGGATTCGATCCCGGTCATATTTTAGTTTCGAAATTTTCGGGATCAAATTTAATGAATCCCGGGATTTTCGGGATTGATACATTTTTTACAAAAGTCAATAAAAATGTGCGTAAAAAGAAACGCACTTGCCTTGATTTGATGTTTTGACAGCCATCTTGTCTACACAGCTGATTTCATTTGTTTTTGCTAATGACCCGTTCTGGATTATGCGTAAAAGTGTGTAATTTATAAAGTTTCTGGGCAATTTAAATAAAAAATATGAGTAGGTATCTATAAACATTTGTCTCTTAAGCATATAGTTTTTTTTATAGTTTATCTAAATAAGTCTAATCAAGTTGATTTTTTGAAGTTTGTTGTTAGTTTCATAAATTATTTACTGCAACACAAAACAAACTAGGCACTAGTTTGTTTATTTTATAAGAAGAAAGTATAATTTTGGTTAACCACCTTTTTGGAGATTTAAAACTTAAATATTCTATGTCCTCACAAAACTAAATGATAAACAAAAAAAATATTTTTATCTGTTTTACTGTCTTTTTGTTACCACTTTCCATTGCCAACACAATCCCGGGACTATCCCGGGATCCCGAGATTAACTGTAGATAATCCCGAAATCCCGGGTACGATCCCCACCCAGGACAACACTTTGTGTGATCTACAAATTGTTGTTCTGAGCCTGGGTGTTTTTTGTGTCCGTTTCATGTATGTTTGTAAAGTCCCCTGAGACACAGGATATATTCCTAGCGTGGGACTTGTATTTAAACAAAATTAAGTTGCCGCCCTTTCATTGGGGAGAACCCCTAACTCTGGGGGAGTTAAGGCTGCCGGTAATATCACTAGCTAGGTGAAAACAAACAAAAGAATAGCTTAACACTGGATTTTTCTGACGCCGTGATATTACTTGACGGGCCTGTTGGTCTAGTGGTTAGTGATCCTGACTAGTAAGCTAGAGGTCTTGGGTTCAATTCCCACCTAAGACAAATAATTGTGTGATGAGCACGATCATTTGTTCTGTGTGTGGGTCTAATTTATCTATGATATGTATGTACTTAGAAATATATAAAATGTTTAACAGCAGTCTGGTTACCATAGTAAAGGCTCTGCAGGTTTGGAATCAGACAGCCGTGTGTGAGATGTGTGAGTTTATTATTATCTATTATCAAATAAAAGTAACTACGTAAATGTTATAAAAAAGGAAAATAAGGCTTTATCTTTATATTCTAAAAACTTATCAGACTAAAGAGAGGTTAGACCTTCTAAAGCAATAAAAAATGGTTTTCACCTAGTTATTTTATTTAGTTAGTCGTTCTCAAGCTGCATTAGGTAGGATTTTCATGTAACATCGTTAAGCTATGATTATAATTATCATTTTAATATACAATTATCAAAAATTGTCATTCATATAAAGACTTGCGCGCCTCTTAATGGACTTCAATTGGACAAAGGACTCGATTATGTTCAATGTAAATACCCTTAGAAGATTATTTCAACTGTAACTGTAGTACAAAGATGAAAAATAACTTTTACTGATTCGTTTTAATTTTTAGAAATGGCACGACTCTCATTAAAAACAAAGTAAATCCAGACGTATCAGTTAACTTGTCTTTTGTCAATGGCTTCCTTCGGGTTTATGTACGAGTATGTATGTATAAATTTTGTTAATCAATTCAGGTATTCCTGAGTAGTGTGTTTTTCTAAACGAATGGTTTTTAAAAACCTAAACAGATTTTTCCTTCATAGTAATTAACAGAGAGAAAAATGGGAGCATTCGTTACTTAAGACAGTTGGTGTGTCTATAAGCCTTTGTTCATCAGGAGGACGTTCCAAGGACACAATAATGATGTTCACTATTTTTAATTTTGTAACCGGACAAGTTAATGACATAAGTGTATGCATTGTAAACGCACTCAATTTGTGTACTTTAATTTGGACGGTTTACATGTTGACACGCGTCTTGTATAGCAGCATGCATTGATTGTAAACTATTAAATAATATTGGAAATCCAAATGTTTTTGTTTTTTCTTTTGCTTTTAAATTTACATACATTTTGTTAAGGGACAGAAAAGGACAAGAACACCATTCGTCGAGATTCCTGAATTGATTAAACAAAAGCCATTTGTGTTTATGTAACACGAAATATGTACACCGCAAAAAAAGCTGAG